TGTAAAAAAAAAAGCCATATTAAAAAAGACTATGGAGAGTTAAAGGCCTCTATAAAGGCAAGAGTTATGCTAAAGATGGCCAAACTACATCGAGAGAATATTAAGAACCAGAAATTAGCTACTTCAGAACCTATTATCAGTCAAAACAACCCCTATCTTAACTACTTAGCAGAGTGGGCCCAAGTAAAAAGATTGTTTGACTCTATTTCTAAACTAACAACAGACAACTCACCTCAAGACAAGAAAGAAATCATACAAGAGCTACTATCTGCAAACAATACAATAGCAGAACAATACTTTAAAATAGAAACAGAACTACTCGACACCCAGGACTAGGCCAATACAGAACAACAAGCCAAAGAGGATACTCTCTTCATCTTGGTTACCTCTAAAAAACAAAGAGCAAAAAAACAAAAAAAAAGAACAATCAAAATCATATCACCTATATAGAAAGGCAGATAGCAGACAACAGAGCAACCCCATTCCAAAAAACTACTAATAAGACAAATTTTTTAGTATAGCCTTACCTTCAAACAAACCTTAATCAATGATTAAAATTGCTATACTAAATGTCAAAGGTCTAAATGATAGGTTCAAAGCTCAAAAAACTCTCACATTACTTAAATCTTACAAATTGGATATAATAATTCTACAAGAAACTAACCTTAGAGATTCCAAAACAAGAAGCTTTCTATTTAAGCAATAGAGATACAATTCTTTATAGTCTACAAGAATAGCCATATTAGCTAACAAAAAAAACATTAAGCTTCTTGATATACAAGAGTCACATGATGGTAGAGTGATCTTAACCAATACAATAATCAGACAGCAAGCCTTCTACATTACAAATATATATGCATTACCAAACCTAGCAGACAGAGTTAAATTCTTCAAAAGCTGAACCCTCACAGCTAACCAAAACAGAATAAATATTATAGCAGGTAATTTCAATATGAACTTGAATTCTAAAGTAAACAGAATAAGTCAAGTAATAGCACAACAAGACCTATCAAGAGATCTGATTTCAGAACTACTGCAAGATTACACAAACACTGCTATTATGTTATCTGAAAAACTCTTTCTTACCTTTTACCAATCTACAAGAAGAAATCAAAAAATAGCTACCCATCTAGACTATATATTTATTAATGTAAATTATAGTCATATATACAACACTTGCACTTGCTTCGGCAACTCAAATCATCTGCTAGTTGAAAGCGAGCTGTATCTAAAACCAAGCACAGCTACATGTCACTCTAGATATTTAACAGGAAAAGTTGAGACAACCCAGATCTTAAAAGAGATATTATTTAGGAAATACAAAATATCCAAGAACTCTCTCTCTAAAACTTTTACAAATGTATCATTCAATCAATAATAAAAGCTTTTAAGCCCTATCTAGCTTCAGAAAAAACAATTTAAAAAATTTATAGAAGGCTTTGTAGTCTAAACAACAAAATAGCCAAAAATCCAAATCTGAAAAAGCTAAAATTTATAACTAAAGATCTAAATTTAAAATTACAAAAAAAACTAAACTCTTTATCTAGCAAATAGCAGCTAAGATCAAATGCCAAATGGATTGAAGAAAGTGAAAAATCCACTAAATACTTCTTTGCTCTATACAAATCAAAACACTTAACAACAGGTTGCTTCAAAATATACAATCCAAATAACCCCAATAACAACTTATAGAAACAAACTATAGACTATATATACAACATATATCAAAACATCTACAAGAAGGAAGATATTAACAGAGGCATAGCTTCTTAACTTATTAAAGATCTCGAACAGGTCACAGCAGATCAAAACACTTTCCTAATCTCCACAATAGATGAGAAAGAAGTCAGACTAATATTTAAAAGTTTTCTTAACAACAAGTTGCCAGGAACAGATAGTCTTATATATGAATTCTACAAAGATACTAAAGAAATCATAGTTCTGGTACTAACCAAACTGTTTAACCATATTCTAAACTCAGAA